CAAAGGGCTGTTTCCCCCCGCACAAATTCCCGGGAGGGTGTTATACTTGGGCCCAAAACAAGACGCTTGGGGGTTTTTCGAAGGAGGTCCTGGAGATAAAAACCCGCCACGGCAGCGAATTTAGAGCATCCGCATGCGGACGCCGGGGACAAGCTACTTTGGTTTACCAACACTCTTGGATTTTTAGCAGGGCAAGAGCCCTGGAAACAATTGTACCAGGTTTTTCAAAGGGTAAAAAACCTTTTCCCAAATAGATCCCCGGAAAACTCACCGGAGCCACGTCCCCTACGTTGTTGCGTTGCTTCCAACCAGCTAGAGGCCGTTTTTCCGAAATAAAGCTGGTGTTCAAATACAAACAGATGGCACAGTTTGAAATTACTACGAACTTCTTATGACAAGCATTTACGACATTTCGTTTCACAGAATTGCTTTATTACTGGCTTGAAGTCAGTGATCTTCAGATATTATTTTCCATGCATATTGAATAGACCAAACAGTTGATAGGCGTAGATATGCACGATTTAAGTGGGGGGGGGGGGGGGGAGGGCTACATATCCCAATTAGGCTATGACCCGGATATACTGAATAGGATATTGTTGTTTACATTACTAATACTACTAATACTTATACTACTACTACTGCTGCTGCTGTTATTACTACTGTTGCTACTACTACTATGTTCCCATGGTTTCACGTTACCCTGACTCGGGGAAAAAGGGGGAGGGGGGAGGGAATTGGTTAAGCAGGTACTCCACCTTACTAAAGATTGCCCCTAGGCTAGTGGAAGAAAAGGGGCACATTCTTGTATACAGTCCGTGTTATGAGAAAGAATGGATTTAAGAACTTGCTAACGACTGACAAAATTTTGGAAATAGAGCAAGAGAACGGAAAAGATATAAAGCCATGGATATCTTGGTCATATCAAGGAAGCGAGACAAGAACATTGACCTGATCCATTAAAGGCTAGAAGATCGACTTCATTGCGCTGGGTTTTATTCCATTTGGCTCGGTCTTTCTCCGCAGAACGGCTAGCGGCTTGCCGAAAGCGCCGCGCAGAGCATGAACTCCGTAGCTCCGGCGACAATCCCCAGGGATCTCCGTAAAAACTGCACTTGTTAACTGAAGGGCGCAACCGTTAAACGAACCCACGACCTTCAGGGCGTGAAGCAAACGGCTTGACCACTTCACCACAGAGACCCCCGACCTGATCAGTGATTCTTGTAAAAGGGTAAAATGTGTCTGGCCACGCTTACATGATGATGATGATTAAAATTCATGTCATATTACGTCACCAAACGTGCTAGACACTCATAAATACCCACCGTTTATAGATAGCAAAAACTCAATATAGCCCAGTTATAACACAGAAGCATAGAACAGTATTCATCTGATAAAACTGAGGCTAACGAAATAATAACTAGGAAATTCCCTTATTGTGATTAACTTCCTAGGAACTTTTTCACACCACTCTAAAGAAATGAGTGCGTGCTGTACAGATCAGGAGCGCCGCTACAAAATATCATTGGGGGTGGGGCCCCTTTGTAAATTTATCTAGGAGGCAGGGGCTTCAAGGGGCTTAAACTCAGTTTAAGATCGCAATAACGGAACAAATTAGATAATGTTATTAATATAAGCATAGTGTGAGTTGAAACATGAAGCCATGAGGGTAATTTTGGGATGTACAAGACATACTCCGGTACTATGTATGCGATATATATTTGCGCTGCCGACTATTACAGATAGGCTCAAGGTGCCGCAAGCAAAGTCATATCTCATAGTAGCCGCAGATAAGAAACACCTTCTGCCTGAAGCGCTAGACAGAACTAAGGATCCCATACTGAAAAAAGGAAGGTCTTGGATGGCGCGAGCTGAAGGCACAATTATACATATGTGTGGGCTTGACTGGGCGATGAAAGGAGTAGGTCAGCATTTCCCAGCAAAAGTCAAACTTGTGTAGGATTCTAATCACACTTGGCTGTGAGTGCAGAGACTGGCCAGCGGAGGCTTCAGAAGCAGAAGTTTGACAAATGATTCGTGACAATTCTCGACTAGGTGGTGTGATAATCTACACAAATGGCTCTGTGCTGAGAGGCAGACGAAGCTCGCGAGGATTCTTAGCAAAAGTGAATGGACGTCGCTTAGTTCAGCGAAGTCTGGCATTTTACACCACAACATATAGTTTGAGAATGGAAGTGGAGCCAGTCACTACAGCGTTTCACTGGCTTGCGAACCAGCTGTGCATCCACGTAGTACCTGTAACTGACTCACAGAGCATGGTGAGAAAGGTATTGTATGCTCCGTGAAGAGTGGCAAGCATCGGATAAGAAATCCGGGGTATTTAGCGTCCTTTGGATAATTTCTCTAGGATATGCCTGTGTATTGGGAAATGAACAGAGAAGAAAACTAGTTGGTTCTTCTCAACTTGGTGGTGAATAAATGCACGACAAGTTAGATGTTGTAAGAGCCCTTTGGGAGCGATTGAACAGTGCGGAAGCACAGATGAAGTGCGGAAGCACAGATGAAGTGCGGAAGCACAGATGGGCCATCATGGTCTGAAGAGAATGGTACTGTGAAGAATGACCAGGGGATCTGGTCGATGATCAGCACTCAAGGGAAAGGTGAGACGGATAAACAGTCAGACTGCTATTGATACCACTGGAACTGGAACTCTTCGCTTGCTGCTGTAGATGAAGATGGAGCGCTTATGGGAATGTCCCAAGTACTATGATGTCAATTCTTAATTAAAAATTAAACGTAAATATTATTTAAATTCTTTTTAGGCAGTATATATCAAATCACAACCCAAGGGCGTGTACATGATTCTGTTTCAAATAATAATAATAATGATAATAATAATGATAATAATAATAATGATAATAATAATAATAACAATAATAAGGTCTTTTCTAGTGAAAAAAGATGCCTGTACTCACCACAAAGTATCGTTTTACTTTATCGCTTCGACATACTAAGTGACGTGATTTTGTGTATTTGTGTGGTTTTGTTTGATTTATTTTTGTGCCGATGAAGGTTCCATAGCCACAACGTTCACGTTTTGTTTCGCTTTGTTATTTTGTAAAGTTTGCTGATTTACTTTTCTTTAGGCTTTATACCTTCTCTTGATAAAAAGTTACCGGTATTGCCACAAAATGTATATTAGAGTAGCACTGAAAACATGATGCCTTTAAAAAGGTGTCAGTACTGCGTACCGCTGTATACCAACAGAAAAAAAAAAAAAGCTCTGATATAACCAAATATTTGAATAGAGAACTTATATGTGGTCGGGTAGGGGAAATTAGCCTTCTGCATATTTTCTAAGCTGGAAGGGGAGGGGTGTGTGCGGCTTAGCCTCCTGAAAATTGTTGGGAGAGGGTGCTCAGGCTCAGCTCCCCCCCCCCCCCCCATATTTTGTTCGGAGCTTTTGGGGGAGGGTGCGGCCCAGTGTAGCAGAACCCCAGGTTGCAGCGCCTTTGCTACACATATCTTTTACGGTATCTTAATTTAATTTCCTGTTCTTTTTGCATTTGAACATGCAACGAAATCTGCAGGCTGTAACTGAGTTTCGTTTTCCTTATCTTAAGTTTATCATAAAATCTTAAGTGTACAAACTGTCTTTAAAAGCTCGTTACCAACTAAAAAAATAATATAATACAAGAAACAGAAATGTTGGACAGAGCCAATAATGAAGCAAGCAGTGTTGACAAAACACAAGCTAATAATATTGTCAAAAGTGATTCAGGTGTTACGGAAAAAGAATTGATTGCAAGTGACAAGAAACTGGAAGGCTGGTTACAGCTAACAGTAGCTACAGGTGTCGGAGCTTTTAAAACTACGGGGAAGCAATTTTGGTTCGTTTATGAGGACGACACGGGTAAATTGTATTACTATCTACAGCCTCAGGATCAGTGTCGTGCAGGGGAAATTGACATTAGGCATTCAACGCTGACGTGCGATGTGAGCAAGAAAGGTCGACCCGGCTTGTTTGAAATCAGGTTAGTTCCATATGAGGTTGTAATGTATTTTAAAACATAATAATTGTATCCGAGATCAGTTAGCATTGTTGGATATTCTTTAATATGGATTATACAACACAATTATCATAACGATTTAAAAATAACACTTTAAATATGTTAAACTTAATTTCATCATCATCATCATGTCTGCCTAAAAGAAACTCGGTCAATCGCCAGCACTCCCGCGTCATGCACTTTCATACTCAAGGAGTCACTTATATCTTGTGCCCATCTTCGTGTTGGTCGGCCCCTGCCCCTCCTCCCTAGTACCATGCCTTCTGCTATAATTTTTTCCAATCTTTCTGGGTGCTTGATATGACCAAAATATTTCAGCTTCCGAGAAAGGATGCTGTTTATAAGCCAATCTTCCTAGACGTTCAGATCTTTCAAGATGTCAGTATTTTTCCTCTATACTCCTATAGGCCTAATCTGTTACAATGAATACATAATAAATGCAATACTAAATAGGCTAAAGGGACATTTTCTTTTATTTCACCCCATCTCTGGGACTTCCGAGATTTTGTAGGGAATTCTCAGGAAAGTTTAATTTGATAGGGGTGTCAGGATGTAAAAATGAACACCAGCTAACATTAACCCCCCCCCCCCCCCCCAATATTGGACTTTCCCAGGAATTCTCAAGAAATCTCAGTCCCAGAGATAGAGTGAAATAAAAGAAAAGAACTAGCAAAGGCACTTGACAATCATAAATAGTCAATATTGAATGAAAACAACAACAAACACACACACACCCACCCACAAACACAACACTTTAAATCCAAGTTATAACCCATATGGTTTGAACAGGACATCGTTGTTCAAATTACTACTGATATAGCTATCATTTTAACCTTTCTTATGTGAGTGAATATATTCAGGTACCATAAAAAATAGTTGTAATTTATGAAACCTGCAGAGTTGAACCCATGCAATGGAAGTAGAAGGAGTAGTACAACAATGTATGTGTGTGTGTGTGTGTGTGTGTATGTGTTGTCCATCAAGATGATGATGACCACTCTTGTTCATCAAGTATGAGTACGAAGATGACTAATGAGGCTGATGCGGGCCCGAAAAGTTCTTGGACAGTGAGGACAGGTAATGAGTGTTGTGCCAGTGAGGGGATCTCCTGCAGTCGCCTTTCTGTCCATCCTTTTCTTAATCGGTCTTGCTGTTCTGTTTGCTTCACATGTAGCCGCGCCCTTGTGTAGAGTTGCACACCATGCATTTCGGTCTTGAGAAACAGTCTCCCAATTGGTGTTATTTATCCCAAATGCTTTGAGTGAAGACTTCAAGCTGTCCTTAAAGCGTTTCTTTTGCCCGCCTTGGGAAATTTTCCCATTTTGCAGCTCACAGTACAACAATAATAATTACTACAACCACCATCACCAGCCCCATATCTAAGAAGTTGGACACCCTTGGGCACTAATTTATTTATGTTCCTCCCCTGTCAAATATAATAAATTGTTTACTACTTCTTTTATTTTTCAGCCCCAAAATGTTGCTACCCTGTGCACAAACCTAAATATGGCCTTGTCTACTATTACTGCTGCTGCTGTTACTACAACAACTACTACCATCACTATAACTAATTTGAGTGCTACTAGCAGTGCTTTATATTATTTTAAGGACTTTCAATCTTTTTTTTTTCTTTACTTCTGGAATACCTCGTGGCGTCAGGGGAGGAAGAGATCTCTAGAACGGGCCCTTCTGTTCGCTACGTATATAATACTTTTAAGTGTCTGATATTTGTGCATGGTCTACTTATAGGTCTTTTACTACTGTATCTGTATAACATTGCTCTCTGTGGTGCCCTGTTTGCTGCCAATCTTGTTACATGGCCGACCCATTTGATTGTCTACCTATAAAGTTTAGTATTGGTTCTGTGCCGACTCTCCTCCTGATATCATTGTTACTAAGTCCATCTTTCCTCATTACACCTAGCATAATACATAAACATTTCATTTCTGTTGTATTTTCCTTCTGTCTTCTGAAGACAGTGTCCATGCTTGACATTGATAGCAAAGCTTTGGTGAGAATATTTTATTTAACAGTGTTCTTTTAGTGTTCATATTTTTAACGACTGTTGTTTGCAATATCTGCTATAAAATAGTTTCCATTTTATCTACAATTTTTATACCACATTAATTACTAGGTCTGGAATCAAGGTATACAGCCTTGATGCTCAGGACAGGACACATATGTTTACATGGTTAGAAACTTTACAGAGAAAACGGAGGGCATACAGTTTGAAACTGTCAGAATCCACGCAAAGCTGTTTTGATGCAAAACAGGTAAATAATTTAATAATTAAACTTCAATTAATAGGAGCATTCATTTGGAACCCATTCCAATGGGCTTTATTGCTTTCTCATTTACTTTCCCAGCTTTCACCATTACTTTCCCAGCTTTCACCATTACTTTCTGCTTACAGGTGGGTCCAAAGGAAAAGTACAATTTAGGATTGGGTTTTGCATTCCACAATGGAAATTAAGAAAAACTACAATATACTTGATAGATTACCAATTTTCACTGCACAAATGATTAATGTACTCAAAGCTCTTGAAATGGTATATGACAACCCTCCTAAACAACTGACAGTTTTAACTGACTCTCTATTAACTGTTCAGGCTTTAAAAAACTCACAAATATGAAGCAGACCAAATAGAAGTATTAGAATGGTAAGACAATGTGGTCACTACTTTTCATGTGACTATGATATGATCACGTTTAGCCACACAACAGCATGCAGTAGTGCTATGGGTTTCAAATGAAAACTTCTTATGCTTTGCCTTAGTCTGTTTAAAAACATGAATGTTACTCATTATGGCTGTCCTATAAATTTATCTCTAAAACGTGTATTTGAGGCTTTAGGGGATTTTGTTGTGTTTATTTGCTTATTTACTTTCTAGATTTACAACTAGAGATTTTTTAATGGTGGTACACAGTACCGACACCTTTAACAGACTTTCTTTCTGAAATGTAATACAAAGACAAAAATCTGCATAGAGACTGTATTGCAGATCTTTCTTTTCCCTCTCCTTAATTAGTTCATTCCCTGTGTGGGTTTCTTGACCCCATTTTGAGGGAAAGTGAACAGACTCACCCTTCCCCCCCTCCCTCCCCTTCCCCATCCTTTTTCACAAACAAGCATGTCATTAGAGGTAAAACGTTAGGAGCCTTTCCTTCTAAGTCCAAGTTCATCTGCCTGAGAGGTGAAGAACCAACAATCTGCATACAAATAAGCAAGATCAGTAAAACAAATATGCACACAAAAAGTCAATACCAGAATTTGATAATTAATGAGAACTTTTCTTCCGAGTTTTCAGTAACTATTTTTGTTACTATCTACTTTAGGAGCACTTTACTGCCAGTGGACTTTTGGGTCAAAAGTGTACAGATACTGACTCCATCTTACTTCCTAATATGGATAATCTGCATATTGAAATAAAGGATGGCTTGTCATCAGTGCACTTCTCAGCGGCAGGTGAGAGAATTGAATAAATAAGTGAACGAAGAATTTCCCTGTGTTGGCTGTGGGGGCCCCATTTTTGGGTTGTCGGGGGAAAGGGGAGAATAAACTTACTATCTCATAAATAAGTATGTTGCAAAAGGTGAATAAATAAAGCTTTCCTTCGAGTCAGATTGCATCTTCCAGAGAGAAGAAGAACCAACAGTCTTCATACAAATAAGTGAGATTTGTAAACAGTATATGCACAACAAACTCAAGTTCTGGAATAAGACTAAAGTTTATAAGTGGGAAAACAATCAGAACTTTTTGCTGACGTTTACAGATGGGGAATGCTAAGAAGAAAAAAAAAAGGAATGAAGCGTTGACATTACTGCACTGTGTTCTTTCTCTTTTCTTAGTTGCCTACAGAGTTCCCACACTGTTGAAGTCAGCTGCAACCTGTTTAACATTTTACCTGTCTTTTTCCTTGCATGTAAAAAATTGTCAAAACCTTCTGCTCCCTCACAATAAGACAGATTATAGCAGTAAATGTTGCATCAACCCCAAAGATGCTGTTTACAAAAATAGCAATGGCAGTATTTAAAAACCATTACAGTAATTAAAAATACTCTGTAGTTTTGCTTTGCAGTATTAATCCCTTATGTACAGAATCTTGTTTATGTGATTTACTGTTTAATATTTCCATGTAGTTACTTTGAGCTTTCTATCTTTGGCATGTTTTCAATTTTTTTTTCTCGAAAATTTGTAACCAACAAATCAGTTTTCCACTTCTTATATTGTTCCACTTATTTTATTGTTCTATTTAACATCACTTCACCACTTGCTACATTTTTCGGTTTTTAATAACTTGTTAACTGATACATGTTTTTTCTTGTAACATTTTTGTATAGGGACATTTTCCAGACTGAACATTTTTACCTCATGAGATTTAAAATTATTACTAGTATGGGTTCTGGAGCATGATTCTAGAGAACAAAAGTTAGACCCACTGTCCCCAACAAGCATGTTGTAAAAGTCAACTAATTCAGGGTGTTTCCTTTAAAGTTAAAGTGCATCTGCCTGAGAGACAAAGAACCAACAGCCTGCGTAAAATGAGCCAGATCTAAAATACAGATGTGCATGCAAACTCAAGTTATGAATCAAGTCCAAAGTCCAGTCATGGACAAACAACCAGAACTATCGGCTGGTGTTTACAGCCAATGAATAAGAAGAAGATTAGGAATTATTTATAGGAATAATAAAATGTGAATTTTACTTATTAAGAAAAGTAATTTATGTCATTTAATAATGTATATCTTTTTATCTAATGCATAGGGAACACTCAAAAGATCTTTTTAAGTACAGGAAATGAAGAAAATGTTGATGTAAATGAATATCTGCAATCACCAACCTCACTGTTTTCAAAGAGCAACCATGGCCCTAAGCAGCATATTAATTCTGATGAATTACTGATTGACTCAAAAGACATTGAGATTCTAATTGCCTCAAATAACAGTGGAATTCCTGCTGCCTCAAAAGACAGTGAAATTCCAGCTGACTCAAAAGACATTGTAATTCCAGCTGCCTCAAAAGACAGTGAAATTCCAGCTGACTCAAAAGACATTGTAATTCCAGCTGCCTCAAAAGACAGTGAAATTCCAGCTGACTCAAAAGACATTGTAATTCCAGCTGCCTCAAAAGACAGTGAAATTCCTGCTGACTCAAAAGACAGTAAAATTCCAGCTGACTCAAAAGACATTGTAATTCCAGCTGCCTCAAAAGACAGTGAAATTCCAGCTGACTCAAAAGACAGTGAAATTCCAGCCATTAGTTTCAAGCAAGATGCTAAATCAGAATGTGTATTCACATCAACAGATAATTTAATGACACTTAAAAGCCCAACTACACAATCAGATTGTTCACAAGCATTCAGAGTGAAATCAAAAAGGCTTCCATCCGGTCGCAGTCACACACTAGCAACCAATCCTTGCTCTCCAGTGTCCACAAATTCAACTGACAGGAAGTTAAATTTTCTGTCATTTTTTTCAAGCAGTTTTAAAGTGAAGAAAGAAGCAATGAAAAAGAAAGTTCTGAATATGAATTTAAGAGATCTGTCACAGTCAACCCTGACTCCTGAAAATGCTAGTGACTCTTTGCAGCTAAGTCACACTTATACTGTGGTAAGTTCCAGCAAAACTTCTGTGTTACATTGTTGGATATATGGCTGCGAAAAAAGGGTTATGAATGCTGGGATTTCATATGGAAGACACAGGTTTGAATCCTCAATATGATTTATTGGGCTGTTTTTTCTGTTGGAGGTAAAAATAAAAAAATTAACCTGCACATTCTATGGCGACAGCACTAGTCAAGTGGCCCTAAATCCTCAGGGTCAAAGATCCCATCCCCATTTACACTGCAAATGTGGTAAATACAAACAATAATGGCAAAGGCAGTTACTTTTACTTTTAACATAAAAATGGGTGGTCTCAGTGGCCAAATGGTCAAGTTATCTCATGCTCTGAAGGTTGTGGGTTTATAGCTGTGTCATTCAGTTCATGAGTGCAGTATTTACAGAGACCCATGGGGATCACTGCTGGAGCTGCGGCATTTATGCTTTGTGCAACACTCTCGGCAGGTGGCTAGATGTTCTGCTGAGAGAGGCCGAGTCCTGTGGGATCCAACTAAAAGCAAAGAAGTCGACTCTGTCAACTTTAACCTCCTTTAAAAAAAAATCAATTTATTACCCTAAATCAGTTATTCTCTAGGAGTGACCGAAAGGGATAAAATCAGGAAAGAGGTCATACAAGATAAAGTCGTCACAAAACCAATTCTAAATTACTTACAAAGACAGCAGATCAAATGGTTTGCCCATTGAAGAGAATGCCTTCTGATGCTAAATTATACAAGGTATATACCAAAAGAGGAGAGGAACATAGAGCAAGAAGTAGACCAAGAACAAGATGGGAAGATAACATCAGAGATACTCTAGCACAACGATGTGTCTATGGTAGTCTGGTAGTCTTAGTTTCAGCTTCATAGCAAACGGGTCACCCCATCTTTGCTCCGCTCCTGTGCCAATGAAAAACACACAGAATGTTTATCACAGTCCCTTGTGGAAAGATTGACAGACTGCTGTCTCAGCATATCTAGCATACACACACATTAAAGCATTTGGTACCATCCGAAGGGCTAACATAAACAGTCCGACATTAGAAATGCAGTTCATCATTGATGGTAGCAGAAGTCACCAACAGATCAGCAGTTGCCCACGCAATTAATTTTAATCACATACGGGCACCACCAACATTGCGACGACAGACATCGCGCCATTTTCGGAATCTACAATTCACACCACCACGTTGGTCACAGTCGAAAATACATTCCAAATTAAATCCGCAGCTCGCAGTGTCATGCCATGCATTCAACTCAGAAGCTGGGCGACGAAACTATTTCCAGTCTACAAGGAGCAAAATTTCATCGGCTACCGTCCGGCAGAAGCAAAAAAATTGCCTCGGTTCCAAACAGTGCCCCTGTCTAGCGTCCATTTTGACCGGAAGTTATAGAAGTATAGAACAGTGTTGTGTGAGTGGACTGAGGGCCATGCTCAGTGGGGGAATAAGGGCAGAAAGAGAAGTAAAATTTAAGGGAAGGGAGGATCTAGACTTCAAGGACTTCTTAGGAAAGATTGAGTTTAAGAAGCAGTTCTGTGTGCCTGAAAGAGTTAATATTGCTGAAATATTTCAGTTTAGAAAACATGACATTGTTATGAGCCAGTCACCCTCCCTATTCGGATCATGAAGAATGTCCTCTTCTTGCTTAATGTAACTTGACTTCTTTGTCCTCATATCTATCAGAAATTTTAAGAGATTCTAAGATTAATAATGACGAAAAAAACACACTTAATAAATCAGATGGTAGCCTTTTCAGGCTTTGTGTGTTAATACGCACATTTTGCAATGGGATAAACTCAGTAACCTGTTATCTGATAAACTGTTTTCTTGGAAAAAAATAACATTTAAAAAAAAAACTCGTCAGTATTATAACACCTCCCCCCATCCACCCCCACCCCCCAAAAAAACCTACAGAATAAAGCTAATTATTTTCCTTATCACATCATAGATTATGGTATAATGTAAATTACTTCAGCCAAGATGGAATAGGAAGATTCAATAATGTTGAATATATCAACTGGCATGGAAATTGGAAGATGGATTCTATATTTTTACTGTTTCAGGTTGACGATGAATTTCTATATGTTAATGGTAATTTTAAGTCAACAAGGGAAGCAACAAATGCCAGGAATAAATCTGTAGATCTCTTGCAAAAAGATACAGATGTTTTGGAGCCAATGGTGAATAACAGGTATATATTTAGGAGTTCTAGCTTTGGTGGAGGTAGGTATGTTCTGTGCAGAGTGGTAAGCATTGCTTCAGAGGTCCAAAGTAGTAGCATCCTCTGGATATTGTCACCAGGGAACTAAGCAGAGGCACAAATAGATCTGAAGAGAATGATGCAGCTTGGAGTGACCATGGGACCTGTCCAAGATTGATATACGAGAATCACAGAGCTATTGATGTAATCGTAACTGTAACTCTCCCTGAATGGGTTCCAGGGCCCTATTATGTGTGTGTGTGGGGGTGCGGGGGAAGGGGAAATACCTTCCTAAAAAATATGTATAAAAGTCAACAAATTAGGGGTTTTTCTTTTGAAGTCGGAGTGCATCTGCTAAAGAGACAAGGAACCACCAGTCTGCATACAAACAAGCTAGATATGTGCATACAAAACTAAAATTCTGGAACAGGACCCAATTCCAGAAATGGATGCAAACCAGAACTTTCCACCAGAGTTTACAGCAAATGAAAACAAAGAAGAAGATAAGTACTGTTACCCAAAGTGTTACTTCAGCTCCTTTATATTCATGTATACTGTTTCATTCAAAGTCTTGTGCGTTCTCACCACCCTGATCTTGCTAGCTTAAGAAATCAAGACTGATCATAGTATATGGTCGCTACCATGATCGCCTAGTACACTCCAGCACAGGTGACTGGGTAACACACGCCAAATCAATAGCCGTGTCTGCATTACCAGGTCTCGTTGTCATTATAGTTGGCCTGCCATCGTTTATACAGACTACGTCTGCATCCACCATAGCCTCCGCCAAAGCATTTCCTTGTCTATTTTCCCCAGTACTTTCCCAGACCTGTTCCTGATGATGATGATTAAGATGCATTTTTCCTTTAGCAACATACGGGTGTGATTCTTGAACTTTCACAATCAATTAGGAAGAAAATATGGGCTTGTAGCTGAAATTGTATAGAAATATTCTTACAATACCAAGGACAAATGCGTGGGGGTGGGGCCTTTGTCCATTTATTTAAAACAAAACAAAAACTACCGCGTTCAGCCTGCTGCGAGCAGTATCGGTTATAACTGTGGTCTGGTTTCATTGTGCCAGTTATGTTGGCTAAGAAATGTAAATGCACCAGAACTACATCCTAAACAGCATCTAGTCTCGGAAACTGAAATACTTTAATCATTTCATACGTCACCGTGGATGGAGAGGACACTAGCGGAGGGCATGGTATCAGATAAAAGGGATAGGTTCCCACAGACAGGATGATGAGCACGTGACATAAAAGACATTTTCGGCAGGAAAGTGCATGAAGTAGGCGAGCTGGCGGGGAACCGAGTTTCAGAGACTGGGCCACCATTCGAATGAGAATCCCCGGTTCACAAGTGCAAGAACTCCCGCTTCACCGTTTGGTTATATCAGCGTCATTGACGACAGCCGGCATAAGGCTTTAAAATGGCAAAGAATTTCGTCTCATGTTAGCACGGTTGCAGTCGAGTTTCTGTGTGTCGTTCAACTCCATGAGGACCGTACAACGAGCGACCAACACCCGGTGACACAAAATACCACTATTCGGATAAGGACCACTCGGGTACAAATCCCAAAAACCCAGTTCAACCATTAGGTTATATTTGGGTTCTTGACAACAGCCGCAGTACCCTTGAAACCACACTGCGTTCCAGTGTCGAGGCAATTTTTGTTGTTGTTTTAAAGCCCCACCCTGGCAGTAGCCGAAGGCTCTAATATAACTCAACCCATGGGTTGAACGAGGTTTCTGTGACCTCTCCCCGTGTGATTCTCATCCGCATGATGGCAGTTTATGTCATCGGGTATTTATCGCTTGTTGAATGTCCTGGTGGGGTTGAATCCCACTCACTCACTCAGCCGGAGTGGGCTTTTGAAAAGACGAAAAACTGCGTCCCCTATTGGGACGGCGTATCGTAATCGAGTATCTTTCACAAAGGCCGTGATAGGAGTGTGCTCTGTAAAGGTCCTACTGAGTTATGAGTGTTTATTTGAGCGCTAGGTGCAATCATTCAGAATGCAGTCCCTGTGAAAGCAAAAACAAAAGAAGAGGAAAAATTGTTGAGAACTCTTCAGACCATTAATGTAGCACCGAGCCTTTGTTTCTGTTTTTTTTTTCTTCATGACTAACTCCCTGCATTTACTACTAAGGGAAATAACCCGCTAAACTATTAATACTTTGGTATATGGAGTTGTCATCCTGCTTTTCAATTTTAAAGGCAGTTGCATTTTATTAATCAGTCGAGCGCTAACTTAATAACAGGATAGGGGTTTGTTTAAACAAATAAATCAAAATAGCAGAAATACTTGACATCTTTCCTTAATGCATTGCACAAAAGTTAAGTGTAATGTCCGCTATAAATAAGCAGATTTAGTTGTAACCAACCGGTTACAAATTGTACAGCTTTCAATTTATCGAGGGGAGGTTATGGTCAGCCTAGCCAGCTGCCACACCTCTTAATGTTCTAAATATATGAAAAGTTAGCGAATGTCCTAGAAACGCTATTCAAGTTTGGTTTAAGCAGTGCATCGCGCCTTTCTTCTTCTGCCTTTCTATCCCCCAGTGCAGCATAGGCCCTCAACCAACTCAGGCAAAGTTGTTGTATCCTTCGCCATTACATGCAGCTCTCCTCATGTCCTCCCAATCTTTCTGATTTCAGTCTCCAGCTCTCTTCTCCATGTGTTTTTTGGCCTTCCTTTATTCCCATGCCCCTGTGGGTTCCAATGCAAAGACATTCTAGTAATCTGTTCTCCTGTTTTCTCAGTGTGTGTCCTATCCAACGTCAGCGTTCTTTTCCTCACTCGAAAGCTCTACATTAGTTATTCTATCATACCATTTAATTCCCTCTATTCCACCAGTTAATGAATGTCTGTAATTTATTAGTAATTGCCTTAGTTGTTCTCCATGTTTCCGCCCCATACAAAAGTACTAATTTGACAATAGAATTTAAAATTTTTAGTTTAGTATGTCCTTCAATTTCTGTTGACCTCCACAAATTACCTAGTGCTATGATAGCTCCTCTTGCCTTTTGTATTCTTATTTTAATATCTCTATCGTCTCTTCGTGACAAGATGAAATTAAAAGAATATTGAAAGAATGTCAGATGACAGAGAAGTAAAAACTGTATACACAAGGGAGATGAATGGTTGCAGACCACGAGGCAGACCAAGAAGACGATAGAAAGATAATGTCCAGACAGGCCGGCAAACACTTGCTGTCATCAACTGGAAAGAGGGGGCCAACCAGACTGATGAATAGAGACGGGTGATTTCTGCTGCAACTTCAAGGGCTCAGAATGCTGAAGACCAGGGGCCATGAGACATCGTCCACATCTCCTTTTCCCACAACCCCATTATTATTGCGGAAAGCGGGCGTTTGGTTTATAAATGGCAGTGCCAGGACGGTTTTTCTGCGACACGCGATGTTAATATTCAAAGTTACACTGTCGGTTTTTTTCAAAAACAATGTGCCTCTTTTTGAAATTCACACACGGTGTATACTTTGTTGTTTGTGGAAACTAAATGTTCTGTGGTTTAGGGGTGTTATGATGAAATTTATCCTGTCAAACAACCGCCGTAGCTGTCATATCATAATAATGATAATGTAGCTGGCTGTAAGAACCACGCTCCCGTTATAAATATGGGAGTCCACGAGTAAGACCATAGTCTACCCTAGCAAAACAAGGTGCTGAGTCGGAGGCGCACCGTTGCAATCAGGATGCCACGTACAAATGCAGTAGGGAATAGATCTATATCTGCAAACAAGTATTGATGAAAGTACTGAAATTGATTGGTTTTCTTTGTAAGGGATCATTTGCAATTTTTAATAAGTTGAAACTATCAATGGCTTGCTGAATTCCTTGGCACTGATTGAGCTAATATCTTCAGCTTTCAGAGTCCTTGAGGTTCATTGCAGCAGATATCATCCATCTGCATTCATTTCGGTGATTGGTCTTTTCTTTCTAGTTAATGACTCCACATGTTCGTTGGTCTGCATATATTCACTATCTCCCCACTGTCTTCTTGGTCTGCCTTGTGGTCTTCTCTCAACCAGCGCTTTTGCCTACACACTTTTTGTCTCTCTGTTATCTGCCAATCTCTCTATATGCTCCAGTCACTGCAGTCTATTTGCTCTCACGATGCCAATAGTAAGTGGTGATTTAAACAGACTCCTTATCACATCATTTATTATTGTAATTAAAAATACTTAGGTATCAATGAGTTGAAGTGATAGCTGCCTGTGACTAAACAAGTTAAGATCCCATTTAGAGGGGATTTGAACATAAAGATACTAAATGGCAGGCAAGCATACTAGCCACTGTGCTCCTTCTCTTGTCCCAAGATCCCTTTGGGAGCGAGTGAACAGTGGGGAGGCACAAATAGATCATTACGGTCTGAGGATAAGGACACTGCAGGGAGTTACCAGGAGATCTGGCCGACGTTCAACACTCAAGGGAAGGATGAGATGGATATACAATCAAACAGTTACTGATACCATCGGAACTCTTCAATTGCTGCTGAAGAAAGGGGGGCGATGTGCACATGGGAATGCCATGAGTGCTGTAATCTCAATTCTTAATTCAACATTTTTGTCCAGTTATGCTAGTCACACAAAAGTCAGCAAGAATTGTGTGAAGTACAGTGATACCTTGGCTAACAAATGATTTGGCTCACACATTTGTTTAGCTAACAAAGATATTGGTTGCCTTTTTTGGGTCTGGGCTAACATATCAGGATGCTGCAAACAAAGGCTATAGTGGATGTGCATGCTGAAATAATGTGGCCATGTTGTGAGCCAAATTTTCACACCAGTCACATTTTGGTTTACAAAGATTTCAGCCAAAAAGTAAATCTGATTCTACAACAAACTTATCTTATTTTCTTTTTAAAGCCAAGACATCACTATATTTCTTTTTTTAAATTTACTGTTTAAAAAAAAAATTAGAGACAATGATTTACACATCTGTTGTACATTAACCAATCAAATTACTTTTGTCTCAGGAAAGAATGTAATAAAAAAGAAAAAGAGATCAATTTGGTCATGGAAGAGAAAGATAAATACATTCTGGATATGGAACAAAGTATCACAACTCTGTTGGAAGAGAAAAATGTCTTGTCCGGGGAAGTGAGGTAATATCCTTCGACAATGATTAATAATGTTTGGCGCGTGTGTTCTTGTGTGTGTGTGTGTGGTGGTGGTGGTGGGGGGGGGGGGGGGGGTTGAGGGAAAGGGGGGGGGGGGTTTCAGGTCTAGGAAGTTAAAGTTCATTGTGTGCCTCAAAGTGATAATTTTTAAAAAGGTGAATTACATTAGTCTGGTAAGCAGTCTACTTTGAAGTCGAAACTATGCTGTTCCCCAGGTTGAGTCCTAGGGGTCCCATTTAAGAGGGTTTAAAAAAAAATACCTATTGTCTCCCAACAAGCATGTTGTCAAAGGAAACTAATTAAATATGTTTCCTGAAAATGGATGCATACAAAGCTCAAGTTCTGGAACAAGATTTAGTTAGTTAGTTTAGTTAGTTAGTTAGTTAGTTAGTTAGTTTAGTTTAGTTTAGTTTAGTTTAGTTTAGTTTTAGTTAGTTAGTTAGTTAGTTAGTTTGTTAGTTAGTTAGTTTAGTTAGTTAGTTTAGTTAGTTAGTTAGTTAGTTAGTTAGTTAGTTAGTTAGTTAGTTAGTTAGTTAGTTAGTTAGTTAGTTAGTTAGTTTGTTTGTTTGTTTGTTTGTTTGTTTGTTTGTTTGTTTGTTTGTTTGTTAGTTTAGTTAGTTAAGTTAGTTTAGTTAGTTAGCTAGTTAGTTAGTTAGTTAGTTAGTTAGTTAGTTAGTTAGTTAGTTAGTTAGTTAGTTAGTTAGTTAGTTAGTTAGTTAGTTAGTTAGTTAGTTTAGTTAGTTAGTTTAGTTGGTTAGTTAGTTGTTAGTTAGCTAGCTAGTTAGTTAGTTTAGTTTAGTTTAGTTAGTTAGTTTAGTTAGTTAGTTTAGTTTAGTTTAGTTTAGTTTAGTTTAGTTTAGTTAGTTAGTTTAGTTTATTTTAGTTAGTTTAGTTTATTTTAGTTAGTTAGTTAGTCGACAGATTATGCTCTTTGCACATCAAACCATTTTTTTCAAATGTGCTCAAATCCCCTCCTAAGTAAATACTGCAGCGTGTCTTTGTTGGTATCTTATTCTTCTTTGGTTTCCTGCAGACTCATCTCAATTCTATTTTCCTGAGCATACTCACTGAGTAACATAGAAAACGTGTGCGGGTGAAGGCCTCCAGTCTTGTTATTGCTTTGGTCACTGCCATGACCTCCATAATAAGACAACTTGTAGACTACTTCAAGTAAATAAAGTTTACCTTTCCACTCAGACACACCCACACTGGGCAAGAGGTTACTTCATAACAGTTTTTTTGTTGCCCTTATTTAACTGTGCTATATAGCTATATATATATCCAGCACCACAACAGACTGGAAAAATTACGGCAGAAGACATGATACCAGGCAGGAGGGGCAGGGGCCGACTGACATGAAGATGGGGACAAGATATAAGTGACTACTTCAGTATGAAAGTACGTGAGGCGGAAGAGCTGGCGAGAGACCGAGTTTCTTTCAGGCAGACCGTGATGAGATCGACATTCTGGCAAAGACCTGCTACATGATGATGATTATATAGCTGTATGGTTAAAGGGAGTTTCCAGGATTTGACTCAGAAAGCATGCTGAGGAAGGTCAGGACAGGCATGCTTTGTGCAAAGTGGCATGGTTTGTGCAAAGTGGCATGCTTTGTGCAAAGTGGCATGCTTTGTGCAAAGTGGCATGCTTTGTGCAAAGTGGCATGGTTTGTGCAAAGTGGCATGCTTTGTGCAAAGTGGCATGCTTTGTGCAAAGTGGCATGCTTTGTGCAAAGTGGCATGCTTTGTGCAAAGTGGCATGCTTTGTGCAAAGTGGCATGCTTTGCTGCGGAGGTCACGGGTGAGGAGTATTCTCTGGATCTTTTCTCCGAGACACACTGTTATGTTGGGTAATGAACAGGCCAACAGACTGACTGGCTCTGCACAACTTGGTGGAATACTGATGCATTATAAGGCAACAGTGGTTAGGGCTTTGTGGGAGAGTGTGTACAGTTCAGATGAGCAAATGGATCACCATTCTGGTGAGATTGATGCAGCGAGGAGTGACGAGGGGTTCTGGCCGATGCTCAGCGCAAGGAGGAAAGGCAAGACGGACATTTAATCAAAATGATACTGGCACAATTAGTATTGGAACTCTGTGCTGGCTGCTGAAGATAGGAACAGAGCGCTTATAGGAATGCCCTGTGATGTCAGTTCTTGAATCACCTGAACTCAACTCCATGATTTGTAGCAGTTTGATTCTCATGCTTGAGATGTTAGTCCTACAGACTGCAGTCCTTAAAAAACAAAAAACAAAACAAAACACTTAATCAGTACTGTCAGCAATTCCCAGATTTTTTAAATTTAAAATTCATTTATACTAAGGATAAATGTTATTATATTTTTATTTAACGTCAATTTATACTAAGGATAAATGTTTTTATTTATCAGCTTTTGAATTTTTTTTTTCCATTTGGATATTGTTGTTTTTATTTTCTCAGGCATAAAGATAAAACACTGAAAGATCTCAGAGATGAGATCTCCATGTTCCAGCAGATGCTAGCAGTGAAGGATGAACTCATCATGAGCCTAACTAACCAAATTCAAAAATTAAGCAATGACTGCAGCCTTGACATAGGTAACCAAGATGAAAGCACTGGATACTGTATTCCATTTCAAAACTGTCCAACATTTCTAACAGTTGAAAAGAAGGAATTTGAGAGATTAAGTGTAAGTTTCTTTTTTTTTTCTTTGTTTCATCTGTGAATTGCATTTGTTTATTTCCTCTGTGCAAAATTATATAATTAAAAAGAAATTTGAGCTTTTGAACTGGAATGTTATAGGAAAATTTTAAGAATATCACAGACCAGGAAGAGGAAAATGTCAACAATCTTCAATGGTGTTGTGAACTGTAGATTCAGAAAATGGATTGTTGCTTGTTGCCACAGAATTTGTGGTGCCTTATGTGGTTAAACTTGATCATGTGTGCAACTGCTGATCTGTTTGTAACTGCTCCTTGCAGTTTTGATGAGCTGCATTTTCAATGTTGGACTGTTGGTGTTAGCACTTCTGATGGTTGCCTTATGTTTTTAATGCTTGTGTATGCTAGTTGATATGCTGTGTCAATTTTTCCACAAGAGACAGTGATCTATATTCTGTGTGTTTTTCATTTGCACAGAAGCAGAGCGACTGTGTAGTTACCCTTGCTATGAAGCTGAAACTTAGATTACAAAATAATTCAGAATCTAAAATATGTGGGCCATATTGAATGTCGTATGGCAGTTTTGTCGTGCACGTTTACTTACAGAATATTTTCACAAATCCCTCAGGTGCTCTGAGACAGGGGTGTTTTGAATGGTGGCTCACATTCGTTTAGAGGCCTAACCCTCGGTTCAAACTTTCCATTCAACCTGTCTCAGGGATGAGGTGACTCGAGCTCTGACTCCACAGGGTTATTATGAACACTTGGGTACCTCTCGGCCAGACGTCCTCATCACTATTTTACCCCCAGACTGTTATACAACGTAACACAGTCAAACAAGTAAACAACAGTGAATATGACAAGACATGAATACCTTTCTGAATACGACAATGAATTCCAATAAGACGAAACTTTTCTAAGAACAAGAAGACTGATGAACTAAAACTTCAATGTAATAAATTCACTATAACAAGGCAGACGAAAAGTAGCATGAAGAATCAAAATGAATGTTCAAATCTTTGAAAATCTGACACTAGAGAAAGAGTCTTTCTACATAGACACATCCATTTCCAGGATCATCATTGGCGGGAGGTTTGAGACAGATTTTGAAGGCACAACTGGAGTCAAGCCGCTACAAAGTGTTACTCGGACTTATCTGGTAGAATCCCGCAGCTCCTCAGGATGCCCGAAGATGGAAATCTGCCAAGTCCCACTTCTCAGCAGAACTCCGTACACTTGATGATCTCTCTGAGAAAGATCAAGGACAATCACTTCCCAGAGACTGGTGGATATATGGTTCACGGACAGTAGAGTATACTGGGTAATGGCTGTTCAACTCAAGTCAGCTGCTTCCCCGGTGTTAGTTGGTGGAAGATCACATTAAGTCCACGGACGCTAGCTGGATCTTCAGAAATCCTGAAAAACACAAGGCAACACCCATGAGCGAACCGTACCCAACGCACCCAGTCAGTCAATGTCCTTACCACCTCCCTATGCTCAGATATACTTGAGGTTAGTCCAAACCATGAAGGTTGGCTACCTCTATCTTGGAATCCGTTCAGTTTCCCAGAGTGAGCACTAGAGTCGTACGTACGTTTCCATTAACTCGAATAGTTTCTGAATTCAGTCCTGTAACGAAAGCCAGACGGATCTCCATTATTTCCCATCCCTTTTAATATACCTTTTTCACTAATTGGAAAGATAAGGTATAGGAGATGAAGTCAAAACTAAGATCAAAGGAAATATGCTCCGAAAGTAGTACGATAGTCTAAGATTGTTGTGGTTACGAAGCTCCTAGCAACAGCGGATATGACGTCATGCCTGACCCGAAGCTCCTTGTCATTCACAACGGTTCAGCGACTCACCAAGTTCAGAGACCGAATAACAGCAAACAACTAATCATACAAAGTTAACAATACCATAAGTACACTCCAGATATGTGGATTGATTGATCTGAAGAGGTTTAGAAGGCCGGTTCGAAGAATTCTCCGAGAAATTTCAGCCTAAAGTGCATTCCAATCTGGAGCTCTATTCGCCGTCCTCCTTCGCAAGGATCGTAGACATACAGATTCGCATTATCAATCTGCTGACCTTACTTACCCACACCACAGACACTCTGAGCACAAATATTCAATTAAAAACCCTTATGAAAACTCACCCATGATAAATGGAAAGAGAATAAAGAATCTTGTCTTTTTAACGGTCAAGTGGCATCACATAAGGACTACGTCTGCCTCATAGACCGGACCATAGAGAAGTGACGCATACAAATACAGTCCCCAACTACAGTAGTTGGTGTAAGAATCCTGCTCACGTATGCGGTGAAGTGGTCAGACAATTTATTTTAAATAGGCGTAGAAAATGTGTCCTAACGTGTAAATTGACACTAAAAGCCTAACAGAATCAATATCAGAGTGATTTATGGGGATTTTTCTTATCTGGACTCCCCCACAACAAACGAACTATATAACTACGGTCGGCCTAACCTATATCATAGTTACAATGACGATTTTGGGGGTGTTCAGACTGTGGACCTGTCCAAGGTGGTAGATGTGTGTATTCTGTCATGCGACATTGAATACCATAGTCCCTGTGGGTTGTGAGGGAGGAAAGGGGGAATAGACCTACTGTTCTCTAATAAGCATGTCGTTAAAGGCAACTAATTACGAGAGTTTCCTTCAAAAGTGGAGTGCATCTGCCTGACAAGAAAGGAACCAAGAGTCTGCATGCAAAAAAGCCAGATCTGTAAAATAGATGTGCATGCAAAACTAAGTTTCTGGAACAAGACACAAAGTCCAGAAAAAGACAAAGAACAAGAACGCTCCACTAGAGTTTACAGCTGATGAATGCTAAGAAGAAGAGGAAATACCATAGAGGTATGAAGAAAACAGTACTAGAAGACGTGGAAGAAGAGGCAGATGTTGGCAAGCACAATGGACACAGGAAATTTAGGACACCCTGAAAGCAGGAAAATTGTCAAGAAACAGTGTAATTTTTCTTGCCTACCATGATCAGGATGACATTCTTGTAACGGACCTGCCAAATGAAGAATATTACATAAAAATTTATTAGATCTGCAACAGCCTATCTAAATATCTGTTATCTAGAGTATGTTAGGCTTGATTATTGAATAATATTTGATACTAGAAGAGCAGTATCTGTTGTATGTCTACTTATACATTTACTTAGCAAAATTTATATGTTTTTAGAGTCTAACATTCGCAGATCAAATGTTTGCCTCATACAGGATATGTGTAAAGCTTATGAGGACCAGAATAAATTTATAACCAATGAAATTCTGGAGCTCAACGCTCTGAGACAAGATGATGAGGTCAGAGAAAGTTTACTCATGATGTAAGTACATCTAGGCCTTATACTAAACAGAGACTGTAAAACCTACAATAATATTTCATCTGCGGACACACGCATGCATGCGTGTGCATGCGTGCACACGCACACATGCACACAATCATACACACACCCACACACACATACACACAAGAAACATGTTATAGCTTCACTGTGGTTTTGTTTTTAAATTTCAGTCTTTTTATAGTAGTAGTAATTTAATCAGAGATGCCCTTTACAAACTTTACTCTGAGAATTCAATTAACACCATATATCCCAATTATAACCCAATTTATTTATAATACACTTCTATTCAAATTCAGTTCAAATCAAATTAAAATATGAAACAAACATTACAAATTAAATTGTTGGTAATATAAATAATTACACTATATATACATTAAAAAACAGATATATACTCTGAGAACTTAATTAACACTATGTAACCCAGTTGCAACCCTGAGGGTTGAACAGGATATTTTTGAAAAAAACTACTACTACTGGTACACTGTAGCCAACCTTTATTGTGGAGAGGGCACTTGGTTAAAAACAAAAATTATGTGTGTTTCTTCTAGCCCTATGATTTTTAAAGTAGATTCCCAAGGCATACAACAGTGGTGTTGATAAAAGTGTTCAGTACTTTCACATAAAACATTTATAAAATCATATAAATTGTTACATGAAAAATGTTGCATAACATGTTCTCCATTTTATCAAATGCAGTCTTTGCTTGTCCTATTCTGTTCTTTATCTGGTACTTAATTTATAACTTACCCCTGACGTCACGACAACGTCCGGGGAGACATTCCCAATAAATTCTAGGGTGTTCAGGTTGTAGTTTCTCGCGATTTATCTACAGCCAAGTTTAGGGTTAGGGTTAGGGTTTGGGTTAGGGTTAGGGTTAGCATTAGAAGACACTAGATTAACACTAATAAAAAGCACCACACAACAGCACACTTCCACCCCTTGAAATAATGGACTGTCAGGTCAGGTGTGGATTTCCCACGGGGATTTCGAGTTTGGGGTATGTTATAAATTAAGAACCCTTTATCTCTTTTTATACATGTTTCATCAGATGTTGTCCATGTGCCTATTTGCCTTCTTCTTCTTGTTTGGTCTGTAAACTAAAAAAATAAGACATATTTTGGCATATCTGATTAAACTCTTTAGGTTACAGTATAATTGGTGGCATATGCCCAATAAGGACAAATGACAAGGACAAAATGTATGAGAACAATATTATACAGTGCATTGTTTGTAATGAATTTATATTAACAAGGGGAAAGCATTGTCTTGAATTAGTACAGATATCATGGGAGTATTGTAATTCATTGTAGTCTCCACAGAAATGTATGTAAATGACCCAGCCTTATGTGAGGTAGAATTTCTCTTGTGAAGCATTGGGCAAAATTTTGTTTTCTTTTTTCTCAAACAGAAAGATTGCCAGGCTTGAGGCTCAGTACTATCAAACAAGGAGCAAGTATCTCTATCTGCTAAATAAGTTACAAATGCCAAAACAAGGTAACTGTTTTTAATTATTGGGTCAACAGACACTGCAATAGAAAAATTAAATCTACATCCACAATTAATTTTTTCCTTTATTTTTGGTTCCTTACCTATAATTTGATAATTATTTGTTTCAGTATTATTTTGAAATATTTTTTAATTGTGCCAAGGACATATCATGATGCAATTGTCTGCTTGTTTACCAACTTGGTGTAAAAAAAAACACACTTCGGATCTCAGTTCAGTGACTATAAATCCTGATTTATGTACAATGTTATAAAAAATTTTATAATAAGGGATAGTTAGCTAAATGAATCCTTATGTTTTATGCAGAAAGAAGCAAAGAAAATAAGAAAAGGAGCAAGTCACCACAACTCATTCTGTCATGACCTAATTTAGCTGGAGCCTTTATTTCACAATGAATACGTCTTCTTGCTAGTTCAGTGGTACCTACTTTTAGGGGATTACTTAGTCTTTTTGATACTTTGTCATAAGAAGTGGGTTAAAATTAAGGTAACTGAGACCAACAACATACAGTTACAATAATAAACATTTGAAACTCTACAATCTGAATGCAGTGCATTATCTGCAAGCTATGCTAAGCCAAGGTGAAGATAACACATAATGGATGTATTGAATTGTGAGGCACCATATGTCACCTAACAGAGCTTACTTAACAATGGTAATATTCTGGTCAATATTTGTGTACCGATTTTTATTTTTACTTTGTATAAATATCTGAAGCTTTTCTTTTCCCATGAAGCTATGTTATTTATGCTTATTGTTTTAAGCAGTGATAGCTGGAATTTTTTTTCTTTATTTGTGGTTTTATTTAGATTCTGAATAGCTACTAATGTGTAATATAATAGGTGTTTCACTGAGTCTCTTGGAATTAAGCAATGTGATATTTTCATAAATAAGATTATATAATTTAAAACTGCTGAAAGGATAAAATTGTCTGTTGATGCTTATTAGTATTATGGATTGTCTGTGGTGGATGAACGCTGTTTAAGTAATGTTACCATTTTGACTAGTGTTTGTGGTGGATCAAAGCTGTTAAAGTAATACTACCATTTTGACTAGTGTTTGTGGTGGATCAAAGCTGTTAAAGTAATACTACCATTTTGAAAAGTGTTTGTGGTGGATCAAAGCTGTTAAAGTAATACAATCATTTTGAAAAGTGTTTGTGGTGGATCAAAGCTGTTAAAGTAATACAATCATTTTGAAAAGTGTTTGTGGTGGATCAAAGCTGTTAAAGTAATACTGTCATTTTGACTAGTGTTTGTGGTGGATCAAAGCTGTTAAAGTAATACTGTCATTTTGGCTAGTGTTTGTTGTCAATCAGAGCTGTTAAAGTAATACTGTCATTTTGACTAGTGTTTGTTGTGGATGCAAGCTGTTAAAGTAATGCTTTCATTTTGACTAGTGTTTGTTGTGGATGCAAGCTGTTAAAGTAATACTATCATTTTGACTAGTGTTTGTGGTGGATCAAAGCTGTTAAAGTAATACTATCATTTTGACTAGTGTTTGTGGTGGATCGAAGCTGTTAAAGTAATACTATTATTTTGACAAGTGTTTGTGGTGGATCAAAGCTGTTAAAGTAATACTGTCATTTTTACTAGTATTTGTGGTCAATCAGAGCTGTTAAAGTAATACTTTCATTTTGACTAGTGTTTGTTGTGGATCATAGCTGTTAAAGTAATACTTTCATTTTGACTAGTGTTTGTTGTGGATCATAGCTGTTAAAGTAATACTATTATTTTGACTAGTGTTTGTGGTGGATCGAAGCTGTTAAAGTAGCATTATAATTTTTACTACTGTTTGCGATGGATCAAAGCTGTTAAAGTAATACTGTCATTTTGACTATCGTTTAATCAAAGCTGTTTAAGTAGTATTATAATTTTGACCAGTGTTTATGGTTGATCAAAGCTGTTAAACTGCTGCAAAATATTTTACTAGCATTTTTAAGAGAGAGAGAGAGAGAAAGAGAGAGAGAGAGAGAGAGAGAGAGAGAGAGAGAGAGAGAGAGAGAGAGAGAGAGAGAGAGAGAGAGAGAGAGAGAGAGAGAGAGAGAGAGAACTCATTATTAGTTTACACTTTATTTTATTTGTGTGACGGAGAACAAAACAATCACAATTTTACACACTCTGAAGTGTTTATGAGTGAAAACACTGTTAAAACCCCTTATATATCATTTATTTTAATGGGGAAAAAAGTTTAGCAAGACATGGCAGTTGTAGTAACAGATACATTATTACAAATAAAGTATTGATTAGCATGTTTTAAATGGAGTGACATCTGCAAGCAATGAACCTCAAAGGCTCGAAATGCTGAAGAAGAAGAAGAAGAAGATGTATTAAATGACAAAGATAACTTGGTGTGAGGAGTTAGCTGTCACATTACATGCCAGACAAAAGAAACATACACAATATCAGGAACACTTGCTATGAAATTCATCATTCCAATGGACTTGCTTTTCTCACTGAAGCAAAATTAAGACTTTTTGTGTAGTAGATTATGATAACAGAAAAGTTGGAGGGAAAGAGAGTCAAGAGGAGATCAAAAGAATACAGATTAGACAGGTTTTTTAAATCATGGCTCAGAGGGACATCAGTATTAAAAATGATTCGCAGCATATGTGACAGAACATATGTGACAGAACATATGTGCCCGAACATATGTGACAGAACATATGTGACAGAACATATGTGACAGAATGCTAGGATTGGAAATGATGATCAACACCACATGACATGAACTGTAAAAATAAATTAAGTCTCTGGATAAGGGTTGGAAGCAGGGATGGATAACCTTTTTTTTTTGTGTGTAGGTCAGATTTAGATTAACCAACCTGGTCGCGGGATATGTAGAAGAAAAACTGCATTATAAACATAAGACCTAGATTTCCTCTAACACGATATTTTGGTCAGATAATCTAAGACCATAATCCCTCGCTACACCCCCTACTGGGTCAGACACTCTCACCCACACACTCTCACCCACAGATGCCCTTCTATATATTCCTAAATTTGTCTATTCAGAGAAAAAAAAATGGTCACTGCCCTGTATTTTATTATCAAAGTCCACCAACAGACATTGTCTGCTAATGTCCGAGTTTGTCCGCAACATGTGTTTCCCTAGCAGGATCAAAGATTTGGTGACTTCAGTCTGTGGCTTTCACTGTTTAGGTCAGCGCTATAAAGACCAGAACACACCTAACACACTGAAAAAAGTGAGCAACAACAGCTACAGCAAAAAGCAGACGTGAGATTTTCAGTACTTGGAATGTTATCGAACTAGGAAATAAAGAACCAGAACTAATTAAATTCATGAAGAAGTCAAACATCCAGATGTTAAGATTAGCTGATACAAGGAAAAAGAAAAACATTTAGTAAGCTGCAGTTAGAACAACCAACACAGGTGCTACACGTGAAAAGATATGATGTGCGGTTGTCCTAGGAGAAATGGATTGATGACATTAAAGAGCTTTTACATTGACACGGAATGACAATAGCCAGTGCTGCCCATCAAGCAATGTATCGCAAACTGTTCCTCTCCATGACACTTAACAGCAGAAATAGAAATTGATGATGCTAATCATTGCCTAAGTTATCACTTTTTTAGATGGTGATATTTTGATTTTTTCCCCCCTCTGCACATAAATGTATGTTTCTGTGTTTTGCTACTTTTGTGAGCAGTGGATGCATATACTCAATATAGCCAAAATTAATTGTGGAAACATACAAAACAAAACAGAAACAATCTGAAAGGCTAGGTCAACTTGATAAGAAGCTCGCTTTCAAATCCAGCTGTGACTTGCTGCAGCCCACGGGCGGCTCCCGGGGTTCACCCAGCCTCTAGGAAATGGGTACCAGAGTGATACTCTGGGGTAAATGGAGGAATGTCGCTGTAGCTACAGAGTTACGTGCGGACGGCGACACAGGCGGACAGTTCTTATCAGCTGTCCATACTGGTGGCAGAGCACTTATGGTTTATAACCGTGTGCAATGATGCTGGTTCTCATCTCCCGACTTTACCTTTACTTTTTTATAGCTGTACTAGTCAGAAAATATGAGTTATGATTTACATTATCTTCACTGCACTCCAGACAAGTTTATAGGTGCTCAGTCTCCCCCCTTTAGCATAAACATCAGCGTCCTATAGTTAATACTAGTCAGAAATACAATTTATGGTGATTAAACCAAGGCCATTGTGTTAGTAAACAAAAACATTAATCACTACTGCATTTGTACTTCAGTACTCAGCCAACAGGTCACTCTAACACAACGGTTCTCAACCTGTAGGTTACAACCCCAGCTTTTGGGGGTCAAACGACCCTTTCACAGGGGCACTTAAGACCATTTGAAAATACATATTTACTAAAGTTATGAAGTAGCAACGAAAATATTTGTATGGTTGGGGTCACCACAACATGTAGAACTGTATTAAAGGGTCGCGACATTAGGAAGGGTGAGAACCACTGCCCTAACAGAAATGCTACCATCTCTTGTTCATAAACTAGATCATTATACTGAACGGTTGATGCAGCATGCCAGGGTATTTCCACTTGGTGTGAATAATAAAGTTGCCAGATGGCAACAGCTGTGTCTCAGTAACATATTAATTATGGATGAATGAAAGAAATGTGCACACATGACACATATGTGCACATGTAACAGCTTCCAGCTTACTATATTTGGGTTAAATGTGCGTAGTGGAAACAATTTTCTTTTAATATTCAGGATTTTACTTTCTTAAAAATAATTCTGGATCTTAATTTCTATTGGATTTTTTTTTTCAAATATGACAAACCGTCCATTGTATGTGTCCTGATTTTAAAATGATAGCTAAGGCATTTAAGGGTTTATCCCTGGGAATTTTTCATTTGATTCCTATTTTGATTTTGAAATATTTTTTAACCAAAAAAAAAAAAAGAACAAATTTAAATTTGTTGTTGTTGTGTGGACTCATTCTACACCTCTGAAGGCATAGTAGTGCAGTGGGGCTGCCAGCCCTTAGTCATCATCATCACCACCATTTTGTCCCCTTTTATGTCTTCCAGTCTAATCATCCATTCCATTCTCTCGTATGCAATCCTTACCATATCATGGATGGAATGCAGTCCAACACCCCTGTCCTCTCTCGCAGCAACTTTCATCTTTAAGCTTATCTTGGATTTCCTCATTTTTTCATTCTTTTTATTTTCCTTTGCAGTGCCTGTTTGGCGATTCTCTGTCAGCTTCTCCTCATGGTGTGTCCAGTTTATTGTCATCATCTTTTTTTCATAATTGTTGTTACAAACGGGCAGAGGAGCCTGAACCTGGGGACTCAGGTTTCTTGAGGCCCCCCCCCCCCCCCCCCCACTTCCCCGAATAACTAGCTTAAGGTCTTTGTTGGAGGGACTTTTTCTTTAAAACATTGTAGCTTCAAAGTCTCTTTCTTTGTTGTGTATTTAAGAGTTTATATTTTCTCGTTGTTTTAAAATTTTGTCTTAGCTGGTTTTTTAAAAGTTTCTGCTCTTGTTACTTTAAAAAATTCAGTTCTCTTATTTAATGTTTTAATTTTGCTTTTGCTGTGACAAACATAATCAAAGTACCAAAGCGGAGAAATATGCCAATGAGTACCAGACCAAGGAGCGCAATGAGATCCGACTTGCTCACATCGCAAAGAAGAGTGGAAACTTCTATGTCCCTGCCGAACCTAAGTTGGCTTTCGTCATTAGGATCAGAGGTATCAATGGCATCTACCCACGGCCCAGGAAAGCTCTGCAGCTGTTTAGGCTGAGGCAGATCAACAACCGTGTCTTCGTCAGACTCAACAAGGCAACACTGAACATGCTGAAGATTGTGGAGCCATACGTTGCTTGGGGAGTCCCCAACTTGAAGACAGTCCGAGAGCTGATCTACAAGAGAGGCTATGGAAAGGTCAACCACCAAAGGATTGCCCTGACTGAGAACTGTTGTTGAGAAGGAACTGGGCAAGAGGGACATCATTTGTGTAGAGGACCTTATCCATGAGATCATGACTGTAGGCCCCAACTTCAAGTATGCCTCTAACTTTCTCTGGCCATTCAATCTGAACTTTCTTCTGGGAGGTTGGCGCAAGTACAACCACTACAACAATGGTGGTGATTACGGTTTCAGGGACACCAAGATTGATGCCCTGGTTAGACAAATGCTGTAATTGCACTGGTTGAATGAGCCGGTTTGAGACCAGCACAGTTATTGAAATAAATTCATTACAAATTTAAAAAAAAAAATGTACCTTCAAAGGAAATGTCAGTTAGATTAAGCATTCAGGTACTAAACCTCTGCCATTGCTGTTGCCACGCCCAGATGAGAAAGGAGGAAGGTTGGGCATGGGACCAACTCCTCCACCTTGTAAAAAAAGAAATTATTTACTGCAGAAACTTGCAGGAAAGGACCCCAAAACAAACATTGATGAGAGAAACCAAAGGTGCTGGCTTGGATTCTATCCATATTGCACAATAAGACAATAAACAAATGAATGAAATCAGGAGCTAAAGAGATAACATATCCAACACTATAGATTATAATAATAACAGTGCTGATGATAAATCTACATGAGTACACAAATCCTGCAGCTGAGAAAAGACCAGTTTATAAAGGAAGTGAGTTTCACATTGCAAAGTTATTCGTCTGCAAATTAGGATTATTGTATGTAGAGACCCAGTTACAGCTGAAGCAAATGATTCATCTATATTTAGATTTGTATGGGAGTCATTGTGTGATCAATATTTGTCATCCTGGGATTTTTCTGCTGATGTGTTGTCGCGTGTTATTTGGCAAATACTGTTGCAGTGAAAAGAATGCAGATGGCTAGTACTGTGTGTGTCATAGGACACTATTTATACAGATGGCAGAGTTAGATTGCTGTGAAGTTCTTCCCTCTAGATAACTGGAATTTAACTAGTAATATGTGTATTTGTAAATAACATTGTTAGGTGTAGTTTTTAATACTTGTAGGATAATACCTTTAAACAAGATATTTAAAAAAGATTTTAATGAAAGCTAAGGATTATTGTAACTGATTGTGATCAAACTTATATATACATTAGACTTTGGTTGTTCGAATAAGTTAAAAATTCATAAATAAATTGTATTGGGTAAATTATTTTCTTAGAGTAATATGTTCTTAGTTTGTGTTTAGATAACTTATACATTTAATATGTAGGATGAAAATTGGATGAAGGAGAAATAAAAGTGGTTAAACATGATCATGAGTAGTGTGAAAAATTGTTTGCTGAGTTTTACACAATATAGTAAGTAGTAGTAATTTAAACCACAATATCCTGTTTGATCCATCCTTTGTGTTTTTTAAATTGCAAAAACTATGTAGAAGTAAGTAAACTGATTACCCAAGAGTAATATTGATATATGTATATAATCAAATTATAATAAATGTTATAAATAAATTTGTTTCAGTTAGCTGAAACTGTTTTACAGAACATTGTGTACCTAAATGTTAATACTGGTATACAAGTTTATTTATCAGAATATCGTGATTGTTTTAAAGCCGATTAAACTGGTTTAAGCTGTCTAAGTTGTTGAAGCAAAAATGATAAATATTATTAAGTTAATTTAAATTAGTTTGAACAGATTTGACAGGATATAGTCTTCCTTTTTTAGTGTTCACTGGCTGTAAACTCTGGCAGAAAGCTCTGACTGTTTGTCCACTTCTGGATTTTAGTCAACTTTACCAATCCTGCCTATTTGTATGCAGAGTGTTAGTTCCTCGCCTTTCAGGTGGATGCATTCCGACTTTGCATTAAACACTCCTAATTAGTTGACTCTTATGCCATGCTTGTTAAAGGGCAATGAGTCTATTATTTTTACCCTCAAAATGGGGCCCGGAAGACATATGGGGAAAACATAGTCACTGTAGCCAAGTGTTAATAATGGTATACAAGTTTGTTAACTGAAATTTCATAAGTGTTTTAAAATTGATTTAAACTATTTTTAATTAATTTACAGAGTATGCATAATCAGTACAGTTATTATAGTGTGGGGCTTCATTCTCTTCTGGGGCCCCATGCCTCTTCTGGGGCCCCATTTTTGAGAAAACAAAAAGATCCAGTGCTTCTTAGCATGCACATCATGAAAGTCGACTAATTAAGGTTGAAATCTGATATTTTGGACTGAAAGACACAGATATCATAGCCTAGCTGTGAGCTACAACACAACATGCAAACCACCCTTTTAAGGGTGAATGTAGAAGAAGAAAAAGAAACCAAAGTTGTACAAGTAATCAAATCAATTTGTTGCTAATCGGAAACCAAAGTTGTACAAGTAATCAAATCAATTTATTGCTAATACTTAACTCTTATAAACTAAAGAGCCAGTAGTTAGTAATGGCCATTAAGTTTTAAAAATGTGTTAAGTTTTACATTTTAGATGTTATCTTTATTGTAGGAATACATTACATTAGTAAAGTTTGAACAAAATATGGTGGAAGTAATTAACTTAAAACAACCCTGAATGAGAATTCAAAGTGTCAGAACAATCCAACACCGAAGATAGAAAATCCTACATTCTTCAGAGTGGGCAACATGAGCAAAGTAAAGCAGACGATCATGAAATCCTTGTGTCTACAATGTACAAACTTAGCAACTAGTGAAAAATCAGTCCTGTCATATCATTTACATCACAAGGCAACGTACGCTGCAAGGGTGATCAATTCCAGTATGTGTACCAGTGGACACAGTTTTAAATTATCAGCACACCAAGCCACCATAATAAGTAAATAATTTTTATTAACTACTTTGTTCTTTATGTCATTGAAAAATGTCTTCACCTGAAATTAACATAAGATTAATCATTAGTAGTAGTTTAAACAAGGATATCCTGTTCAACCCATTTGGGTTATAATTAGGGTATATATATAGTTTATTTTCTGTTTGAATAATGGATATTTATGCTTGTCAATTTACTTGTGGTTATGAATATTTGTATGGTTATTCATTGTCATATTTCTTATAAAGAGAGAGAGAGAGAGAGAGAGAGAGAGAGATAGAGAGAGAGAGAGAGAGAGACAGAGAGAGAGAGAGAAAGAGAGAGAGAGTAAAAGTGAGTAGTACATGTGTACATAAAAAAAAGTTAGTTGTGCCTTTCTGACTGATTCTAAGTGGGTTCTACAACAGTTGTTAACGCAGAAGACCATAGTATTTAGTTTTAATGTAACAACTGATTCACTTAGGCTGTTCAGTAATTTTAAGTCACTTGGGCTTGGTAAGCAATGACAGACTGGCCAGAAGAGGCTATCACATGATGAATCAAATTGTTACCTAACCCAGGAGACTAAGACAATACAGTCTAGTATCAAAGAAAGGTGGCTAGATACCCGCAGCGAATTTTTTCCCCAAAACTCACAACATGGAGATGGGCCTATGCAACTTGGTACCAGAAAATACTGAGTATATACTTCAACCCTGTCAACTGTATACAACTAATGGAGAAGCAACTGTATGCTAGTTAGTTAGTTAGTCAGTGAACACATTATCCTCATTGCACATAAAACTGGTCCATAAGTGCTCAGGTCTCATCTTCACTATCAATCAATCAGGTGCCGTCTCCACAATGAAGGTTGGCTGCAATGGATCTCCAACAAGCCCTGTCTCTTGACCTTGATGTACACTCACTCATACTGCTGTTCGTCCATATCTTGATGTTATCCTCCCACTTGTAACGCTGTCTGTCTTTTGCTCGCCTACCTTGAACCTTTCCCTCTAGGATGATCTTTACAATACTGTTATGTCTTTTATTGTTGCCAAAATATTTCACTTGTCTCTTTTTTATTTCACCTAGCAACTCTCTTTTCATTCCCAATTTCCTCAGTACCTCTGTATTTGATAGCTTTTGTTTCCATGAAATACGACCTAATCTTCTGTATATCCACATCTCCAAAGAATTGATACGATTTTCCAGTTGTTTGTTCATTGTCCATGATCTTCACTATACCCTTCATCAAGTGGCGACTGATAACACCAGTTCAGTGTTGGTTTACTCTTCTTCTTTGGCTACCTGCATAGTGTTCATGTTTGGTGACGCCTCTTTTGGCCTGAAGTTCTTGTAGTCTTTTGGGCGTTGCCGATTCAACATCGTCTCCTGAATCATCTTTTCGTCCTGCCTCCTTGCACCCATTTTTCTATTGAAAAAAGTCCTGGGCAACCTTAAAATCTATGCAGAAAACTCAAGTTCGGTCTGAGTTGCATTGAGTTGAGTCAAGAATTGACATCACAGCACTCGGGGCATTCCCATGTGTGCTCTGTCCTCATCTTCAGCAGCCAGCGCAGAGTTCCAATACCGGTACCAGTCACAATCTGGTTATATGTCCGTCTTGCCTTTCCTCTGAGTGTAGTGAGCCGGCCAGACCCTCTGGTTACACCCGGGTGCCTCATTCTCTTCAGGCCAAAACAATCTTGTTTCTCTACTGATTCCGTTACTTGTTCCTAAAGGGCCTCGACCACATCTGCCTTGTAAGTTCAGTCTGAAAAAAAGCACATTAGTTATATGCTATAGATAAAGTAGTCCTGAAATTCCATGCACTAATTCTTGAAGATTTTTTTCAACCCGAGCTGGGCTTGCTAGTCTCACTCACCTTCACTATAGGTCTGTGATTCCTATATACCCCCCTCCCCACCTCCTTTTCCCACAACATAAAGCTGTTGCTTAAAAAAGATGAAAAGGTGCCAACAACTAGTATGAGTTGGCTGGAGGGTGGGAGGAGGGTGCAGGCTGAATTGAGAAGGATACTGCAGGATAGAAGATGGCTGTGTTGTATAGACCAGTGTCATGGTCAAATATTAATTTTGTTGTCTTGCTTCAGGTGGGGATGAAAACCAAAATCATGAAGCCATCAATCAATTATTGCAAGAAGCACAAGACTTTGAGTTTGAATCGCAAGAAGATGAAGGAAGTGAAGTAAACTGTAGATCTGTTTATGAGTAAGTGCTCAGTCAGATTGTTTATTATTAAAGTTTACATGTGGAGTATAAGGTTCCCCTGTATTTGCAACCTTTAACTATGAGAGTTGTGTTACTTTGTGACACTTTTTTCATTGAATTACATGGGAAAGTTTAAAAGGGAACCTTTTATTTTTATTTTCAACCCCTAACCTGGATGACCAAGATGTCTCTCTTTGTATGTTCTCTACCCTTTAACCTT